AAAGGACGTGTGAAGTCGTAAACTTATATGGGTCAAATTGCTTTTCTTAGGTGCTTCCCTGAAATTGATCCGGCGACAGTCGACTCCTTTTAAAAACGGGTGTCCCTGAGAAAAAGGATGGTTATGGAGTTTTTCTTCGCCTACGACGGACCAGTCCGTAATATAGCTTAAATTTTTTTTGCACTATTTTTCCCAGTTATATGAAATTGATTTTTTTTTAAATATATAGGAGTTGATATTTGAAGTAATTTTTTTGCTTAAAAGATGTATGGTTTTTTTAAGTTAGAAAATAGAAAAGTAGAATATAGTGAAGAATACCGACATTCCAATATCTCAGGGTAATCTCCAATAGAATGTCAGTAAAAAAATTTAATTGGAACAATCAAAGATCTTTATATGATTAATATACACGCAAAGAGAAAAGAACGCACACTCGTATTTTGTTGTTTGTTTCTGTATATTACTATTTTAGAGCTCGCCCATACATTTTGAGTTGACTATCTATCAAGGAAGCCGTTAAATGACGTTGCGTTGTGCGGTAAGAGCAATAAAACGATCGTTTTTAGCCGTCGTACATCGCGGACGACCACTACCTTCTTTCTCTTCGAGCGAGATTTCCAGAGGCACTAAACCACCGTAGACCATCGTAGATGGTAGCGTGCGGCACACCCAGCACATGGGCTTTGTCCGTCGTTGGCAGAAGTATCTGCCCGACCAAGATCTTCTCGACTTAAAACCATGCTTTTAAGAAATGTTTTTAAAACTTGGCCCTGGAAATGATGAAATTGAAAGGATTTTCTTTATTTTTAATCTAAAGAGTGTAAAACGATTAATAAAACTCTGTAAAGGTAAACAACAAATTATTAATGTTGTGTTTATGTTTGCGGTCAGTTGTTAATCTTTATGCCCAGTTATTATGCAAAATGAACAAATCAATCCTCCTCAAATGGTACTCCTCACAATGGGGTTCCCTACAGTGACCTATGCTGTCACTTTAGGCAATTCGTCTGGGATGCATGGAAGCACAATGGAGTGCCTGCACAGGAAACAAGCTCCTCGCACTAAAGAAAGATGTAAAGAAATCTTCTTCCAGACCTTCCTGAAAAGAAGAAACTAACCCGGCTTCCAATTGGCCACTCCTGACTCACGCATAGTTTCCTCCTTGAAAGAACCCCTAAACCTGTACATCTTCTGTCACTATATCCCACATCGTAATAGATTTTCCTTTATACACCTGTCCAAGAACCTTCCACGAAATCCCAAAGACCTCCAATCCATACTAAACAACAACATTGCATCAATAAACCAATTTTTTAACTTCTTAATAGATATCCAACAAATAGATAAAATTTAATATCCCATCATCTCAACTCTTGTTTCTTCTGCTGGTGCCCCATAACGGCGGTGTGACGCGGCTTATTTGTGGCGAAGTCCACACGGGACCTCGGGTGCTGGTCGGTTTTGGGCTGGATTGATGGGTCCCCGGACTCTAGATCAAAGAATGTCGATGGTGACTAGACACCGACCCTTCTCGATAGCGCATAATATTAATATTAAAAGCATCAATTGCGAGGGATCCGTGGGGTTCCATTCTTTCCAAGCCTGGCGTCGCCACTGCGCCGTTGACATGTATAGACTCAAGGCTTAATGACTAATAAGATTCGTAGCCTTTATTTTTAACAAATCAATACAAGTGTCTGGTTTTTGTCTTTGATTGTATTTAAAAAAAATTATTTTATCATCAGAAATGAAAAATATATTCTTTTTACTTTTTATTTTGACTATATGCCTTAAAAATTTATAGATTCTTTGAGGTTGGAAACATGCAGACGTTATACCAGTACGTAAGCCAAAAACACTGCACCAGACCCCTTGATCTATGGGCCCTTGTAGCCTTTGTAGATGTAAATAACAAACAAAAGTTAAGGAAACAAAGCAAAGTAAAATTAATACGTTATTAATAAAGTTATCGAGTATTGACGGTTCATAACGATAAACTTTACTTTGTGAGAAGTTTCTCAGTTGGTGTGCGAGTTTATGAAGAGAGGTTTAGTTATGAATATTCAAAACTGGGCACGTCTATTCTCGCTTTTCCTCTTTGGTCGTGTTCCTCTTCACACTACGCCGTATTCGATGAACAGAAGTTTCCCTTTTTACTGGATTATTTTTGTCTTTAAATATTAGAGATAATTGTAATAACTAGAATAAGTGAAAATTATGTAGAATGTTTTAACAGAATTACAGGTGATAGCGTCGTAATAATGTGTGGCCAAGTCGTTTAGACAAAATATTACGTGCGGATTTCTTAGGCTTCACGCATCTGCCAAGGATTTCATTAAGAGTCCTAATTCATTGGGTTATGGACCGTTCTATTCATAACCATTGGTTGGTTTCTTTCCAACCGACAATGAATGAAGTAGAATAGATATAACCAAAATATACTTGGGTGAGGATGGAGATTCCGGTGGGAACCTTGCCTAATTGAGCGTGTGGGACTACAATGCGTCACGGGCAAAGGTGGTGGTTTTTTTTCTGCCTTCCTTTAAATAAATCAACCTCAAATTGGCTCAAATGCACTATTGAAATAGCTTACTTAGTATTTTAAAAAAACATTTGTATTCTAAACACAATTTAATTAATACATATATTATTTATATCAGTTGTAGACATCACTGTGTGCACTGTTAAAGGCTCAAACATTTATTTAAATTGTTTAAATTTATTGGCTTTAAATTTAATGTTAGGCAAATAGATTTACGATCTTTAATGACACGTAGTTTTATTTTGTTCACCTAATTTTTGCTTTACCTGTCTTCTTTCTGATTTTATCATAATTATACATTCTCACGTTTGTTGACATTGCTCTTCATCTATCTGGGCTTGCATCTTGCCCTATCTCACTACCTTTTGTATTTGTCTTGTTTACATTAGGTATTTTCTTACTTATTTTTATTCGTGTGTATTGCGTTTTTTTTGTACGTGCTGTTGTTTTTCAATCGATGTACTCATGTTTATTCTTTCTTTTTCAGTTGGGTTCTAAACCAATTCACATTTCATTTTTCCCCAATCCTTATACCTCTTCTTTTATTCTAGTTGTTTTCAATTTTTTCATTGGTTTTGTTGGTTGATTATTTATGAAGATCGTATATCATTTTTGCCCTTATTGTTCTTCTTATTTTAATCGTTTTTGATTTTATACTTTAACTTGTAGAAATGTCGGTTAAGTTTGTTGTCATATTTTTCGCTCGTACTCCGTTTTCCGTTGATATTCTCTGTTTTATTCTTGATATTTTATTCGTACTAATTAATTTTTTTGTTAACTTGGTTTTCGAGCTTTTACTATCCTCGTTGATTTGCTCTTTTATTTGCGTTGTGATGTTCTTATTTTCGTTGTTTTCTATTTTGAATCTAGCCTTGTAGATTTGTATAGTTTTCATATGTGTGCTCGTTTTTTTCAATTTTGTACTTGTCCTTGGTAATTTCTTAGACTAATTTTTATATATATGTGTGTGTTTGTCAATAATTGTTTTCTGTTTAATGGGTCTCATTCTAGGTATGTTATCGACCTATTCTGTTTCTATCGGATCTTTTTATTGTCCCGTTGTTTAGTTTTCTTTCTCTAAGTTGGTGTTAATTTTTTTGTTTGTTTTCTATTTATGATCAGTTTTATTCTTATTCTTATTGTACCATCTTTTTATTTGATCTTGTACTTTGTCTTGATGATGATTTATCATATTATTGCAGCTATCTTGTCTTCTCATTTCGCATTTTTATTTTTTCCCCTTTATATGTGTGTTGTGTTATCACTTTAATCTAGTCCTATCTGGTCTTGGTTTTGCCCAGTTGTTTTGTTATATTTGTCCTAGTTGGTGTTTTGTCCATTCTCTTTTTCATTGATGATCTAAGTTCTATTTTTTCATCTTGTTATTGGCCTTTGATCTTGTTCTTTGTCTTGATTATTATGGGTTAAACATATTTATGCTATTTTGTTCCTATTGCATTCTTATGGTTTTTATGATTGTTATACAATACTTGTTTACAATTTTTACTTAGCGTTTGAGGTTTGTATATGTGTTTTGTATCATCAAATTATTATTGTTCTATCTGATACTGATTTTGCCAGGTTGTTTTATTCTGTTTTTGTTTTAATTCTATTTTCTATTGATCTCAGTTTTCTTATTTTTAAGTTTTCCATATAATTTCTTTTAAGTCCGTTTTGTTTTTATATTTACACATACTTGAGATCTAGCTAGTAATTTTATTTGTTCTTCTTTTAATTCATGTTGTCGTTTTCGATCTCTTTTTTCGCTTTTATTCTATTTTAACCTTGTCATTTTCCAGTTTTTATGTATGTTCTCATTTTTATTACTCTTGTCCTATACTTCTGATTTTGTTCTTCTTTCTTACTCTATTTTGGTGGTTTCTTTCTTGATTATTTCGTTATTCTTGCATTCTGTCATTTTTCTTCTTTCTCTCATTCTGTTGTACTCTTTGCACTTCTCTCCTTGATATGTTATTATTTTTTAATGTATTGACTACGTTTACATTGCTTTTATTCTAATTCGTTAACGTTTTAAGGATTTCCTCGCTCTTTTGTTTTTTAATTGTTCTTTTATGTGGTATCTGTCTAATTTATTTAAATAAAACATAAATATAAATATTTTGGATTATAAATTGTGTGTTGATTTGTAGTATATAAAACAAAATATAGTAGCTATGTTTGATAATGATGTGATCACGTCTTCTCATTATTCAGAGGTGCATTTGGTATTTCATCATTTGCATGCAAGGAGATTCCACATCCTTCTCCATTTGCGAACTCAATTTATTCTATCGCTTAATAAACTTTTTGTTGTCAGTTTTATTGAGATTTAACTAAGTCTAAAAGGTGAATATTTAATTGTGGTCTGGTTTTTGGTGTTGTAATCAGTTAATTCTAGCAGACCTAAAGAACCCCCACTGCTTATTGATGTATTCAATGATGCATTCTGTCATTTCAGCTTCACGATACCGGCAAAGACGAAACGTACGTAAGACTGACCCTGAACCAACACTGGCACACGGTGAAGGTGAAGAGGACGTCCAACGTCAAAGGAGCAGGCGAACCCAAATACTCTCAGGGATTCAATTTCAGGGTGCCCCAGGCTAACATCGACGTGACCAGCCTCTGCCTGCAAATTTTCCAACCTCAGCAAGGATATGGGAAAGGTACCAATTTATCTATCCCATGACTATTCTTAACAATGTTCAAAAGGTGTAAAACATTGTAAACAAATATGATACTACAACGGCTCAAAATTGTGTACAAAAATGTGCCCGTGGAGTTGCAAAAAAATTAAATATCTAAACACTTGAACTTAAATGACAAAAAAAATGGTTTGGCGTCAGTCGTTATATTTTTAACAAATATAACAATAAAAATAACAAAAAAGGAAAAAGAAACCAAAGATAGATAAATAAAAAAAATAATAAAACTCCCCAGCGCAGGAGGAGAGAGGAAAGCCAAACTTAATCATCTAACCTTACCCTGAAACCCCTGGAGACGACAGGGAGCGCTGGTTTTGTGTTCATTTAAAACAATTAAAATAAAACTCTTCGTAATTATACAATAAAACTTAAAACTTAAGAGTAAAATAAGAATTATCATATTCTCTTAACAGCTAATATAATAATAATAATAATACAGTGTTTATTTTTAAAGCATTACACATATTTATAATAACATGATAAACGTAAGATTGGATATTTAGTCCATCAGCGGACAGTAGGCCTTGATCACAATTAAAATATAAATTTCCCTTTATTGTTCAGAAATTAAGTAATAAATATAATAATTTCATTTCTTGACTCAATCTTCCTCTTATATAAGATAAACAATCGGAAATTCAATTATAAAACAATCCAACTGAAATACATTTTTCTTATTCTATAAACTAGTTAATAATGATTATTTGGAGATCGTGAGATGCGTTCTAGTGTGACGTAGGTTTTAGAAAGGCATTTTCTTTATCGTGCCAACGTTTCGATCTTTATTGAGATCATCTTCAGGACTCAAAGTATTTGTTTCCCGTGTAGATGTGTCATTCTTGTGGGTCGTGTTGAGAGTGCCGCTTTGAGCCATGAAGATGATCTCAATAAAGATCGAAACGTTGGCACGATAAAGAAAATGTTTTTCTAAAACCTACGTCACGCCAGACCGCATCTCAAGACCTGCAAATAATCATTAACTAACGGTCACCAAACACCACACACCTAATTACTAATAATCTAATAATTACAAAACATTAATAAATAATTAATTGATAATCTAAGATTAAATACAGTCTATTGATTAAAATGCCTCTGAACGATCTAGTTCTTTGTAGAGCATAAATTTATTGGATCTGAAAGCCAGTTCGGTGCAATGTTCAAAATGCCTGAAGCAAATGGATGATTCAAATGCCGACAATTTAGAGAACTTCATAATTGTTAAAGGAGAGTAAAAAGTTAATATTGAGATATTGGAGTAATGAATTGAGTGCCTTAAACCAGGATAAATTAGCGTTAATTATTTCAACCGCCGTAATTTTGGGAATTCTGTAATCAGGCTGTGTGCTTAGATATAAAAGGTGGAGTTTGAAGGTGTAAACAAATAAAAGGTCGGTTGATGATTCTTCGTTCAATGTGCAGTTAGGTGTGAAATTCTTCAGGTGGAATAATTTACGAAATTTACGAATAAAAGACGTTGAAAAGATTCGACTATATCGAACCGCTGATACTTCCAAACCTGGGAAGCATTGCATACTATCGACGACACACAGAAGAAATTGAGAGATGTTTGAACCAGACCGAATTTATTGCATATTTCCCCGTATAAATTTTCTTTTTGAGGTGAGATGTTAGAGAGTGCTTGGGCGTGAAGAGCACTCCCAGATACTTTTATACTCACTCACAAAGTCAATTCGTCTTCCGTCAAAGATCCAGTACATTATTCGCCACCCTGTCCTCTCTACGAAAAACTAAGATTTTGGATTTATTTAAATGTACTATGATGTATCAACGTCAATGGCTCTCCGCATGGCGGATGTAGAGGTGGCCAGAATGACTGTTTCGTCAGCTTAGAGAAAGCTTTTAATTATTACACTAGAACAGCGAATTTCAAAATTGAAGGCATCAGGAAATAAATAGAGAAAATAGCAAGGGTCTAACTCATGCTAATTAATTTACAATTCAAATCCGACCAGCTGCGAACGCTGCTTCTTGTCTGTTTATAAAACGGAATAATAAACTAAACCAGCCCCTATTAAAATAATACAATAAAACTCTCCGTTTTTATGGTGTATTCGTGTTTGTTTCTGTTTGTTTGGTCATCGCTGAAAAGCTTTAAATCCCGATTCCAGAGGGCGGGTAATAATGTCTCTTGTAAAGGTGAACCATTTGTTTTTCCATGCCCCCACGGCTGCGTAAATATTTACCAGGGAAAAAAGTCATTCCTGGTAGGGACACGAGGAAATTCTATTTTAAGGACTTGGAGTCACACTGTAAATCGGTTTTAAGCATGGACGAATATCTAGTTAACCTTCAGCTCGATGGATCCCTTCGTTAAGCTAACGAACATGCACCACAAAATAACAATGACGCGTTTCGTTTCTCCCACTAATGAAATATCTCTTGTTTTGTAGACTTACGGTAATTTGAATTTTCCAGAATAATTTGCTACAATAATAACAGAATAACGACAATTTTTAACATGATTCAATGCTAGTCTTTTCTGCAGGTTATTTGGCTCTTGTCTGTGTAAAAAGAAGAATTGTCTATAAAGCTTAATATTAAAGGGTTAGACTACACATCGCGTAAACTGTATTGAAATGGTGAACTATTGTGACGCAACGTAGAAGCATACTTGATACTGTCACCATCTTGGGTCTAACCAATTTAATGAGCAAGTTCTTCAAACCTGGTATCATATCACATTCATCTAAGTCTAAAGATAGGAGCGATCGGGGGCCCATGTTCCCATCTTTACTCATGGGTGTTGAGACGCATGAGAATCTTTAACGTCCGGACTTATCCCCGAGAGGACTTCTCAGACGCCCAGTGTTCTCAAAGAGAACACCAGGAAGATTTTACATGCATGGACTTGTCACATCCCTTAGCTAGCGAGGTGGTGCAATACTAACTAAGTTCAGAAGTGTCCTAAAAAGGGCACATCCGTACTTGTGCCTTGAAAATGGTTTTGTGGTTTCTGGCCCAGCCTTTCAGCTGTGCTTTTCATCACCCCTGGAGAGATAGAGAAGGCACTCTATCTCCGGCTCCGGTTGGCCGGTATCCTCCAGCTTAGGTACAATCTGTTTGCAAACCACGACCACCACGAGTCCAACCTCAATTAGTAGAGCCGCCTGGATACTACTAGTATTAGTACTACTCCGTGGTTCAGTATTATTTTTAAGGTGGGACTGATCGCCCATCCGGGAGTTCATACGAACCACCTACTGATGCACCCGTTGCCTGAGGGGTGCGGGTTCAGTAACCTAGGAAGCCTCTGCCAAAGCAGAAGGGTGTAAGGAAGAGAAAGGAAAATTAGGAAAGGAAGGGTATAGGAAGGTAAGGGGGAAATTTGCCTCCATCATTTGTTACCCCGAGGCACCAGGGTTGATGGTCGGACTTTACCTGGACCCGCAAGGAAGGTGTGTGGGTAAGGCGATCGGGGACGCCGACAGTTAAGTCATGGCCCTCATGACCGTCAGGTAAAGTTCTCGGGTTCAAATCGAGCAGCCCTGAACTCGAAATCACATACTTAAAACAGTGTCCGACACAGCGGGAGTTGGTATGACTTCTGCTTTTGCGAAACCCGTAGAAAAAAAAAATCGAATGATCTAGATTTCGATTTAGGGAGGAAGATGGTCTACAAAGAAAACAACCCCCCCCGCAGAATTATAGTTTTTTACACAAGTAAAAATACAGTGTACTAACATTGTAAAGAACATGACACCAACAACTAAATTTTTTCCCGTCATGAACAATAGGTGACAAAATAAAAATACATTTACGAAAATAAACTTACATTTACGAACACGTACGAGCACGTAAGTCGATCTTTATTATGCTCCCTTACTAAACTATTGTGACGTAACGTAGAAGCATACTTGAAACTGTCACGCTATTGGGTCTAACCAATTTATTGAGCAGGTTCTTCAAACCTGGTATCATATCACATTCATCCGTCCCTAAGTCACATAAACTTACTCTAGTTAACCTAAACACACATGAACTTACTACTTCACTCTCCTTTCCCCCTCTCGCCTCACTCTCCCTTTTTTTTCTCTCTCTCTCTCATATATATAAAAAATAATAAATAAGTTAAATAAAGTAGAAGTTTTTTGATACCAACTTAATTTGTTATGTACAGTTGTACTTTGTTTAATAATGACTTTAAGAATAAAAATAATGAAGTCAACAAAAATTTAAACTTTGAAATTCATAGTAGAAGGGCTCAATTACTAGATACGAAAAGATTGATAATGAATAGATAATAATAAAAACTTTAACGATCTTTTATTAAATAACGTCTAGATGGAGATTTATTATGAAACTAAGAAATTAGTAACAAATTGAAAATCCGATAATGAAAAAGATTAGAATTTAAATAATTTATTTACTAAAATATGGGTTTAATTTAAAGCAAACAACGATCCCTGTCTTGTTACTCTTGTTAAAGTTAATCAGCGCTCGTTAAGACGTAAAACGGCTAATTTTATAGAAAAGCTGCTATAAAACCCTGGCCAAAGTGCATATTCAATCACAAGAGAGAAAAACCTCGAGATCCGCGTTTCCTTTTTTATTTAAAACTGCTAATTTCTTTCGGCCTAATCATTCGGCCATCTTAAAACGGCGAAAAAGCCACTCATCCTTACAGCCTAATGCACCAATTAAACTAAAAACTTTTCAAGTCGTTACACTTGGGCCGGGGGGAAGTTGGGAAAAGTAAAACGTAATTCTAGGTTAACTGCCAGGGTGGGGTTAATGAGGATGGAAAAATAAAATGGACTCTTCCTCCAAGTTACTTTTGTCAAACCTTGGTTTATTTTATATAACCTTGCAACAATTAGTCTTACTTCAATTTGGCTTATTCTGTAAAAAATAACCCTGAAGAATACATGTATTTTTTACTTTTCTTTATATTTATTGTGAATCTACTAGGTTGCGGGGTCCGATTGACCAAATAAATGATTTTCAATTAATTAAGGCTTTGGTTGAGATAAAACAGTCAGTGTCACGTGCGGGTTTCGAACCCATGACCTTCGGCTAAATACGCCGCTGCTCTACCACTTGAGCTATCGTGACTTCGATACACTCGGTCCAAGGTTCGAGTACACACACACACACACACACACACACACACACACACACACACACACACACACGGACACTAGCTCAAGCGGTAGAGCAGCGGCTTATTTAGCCGAAGGTCGTGGGTTCGAATCTCGCTCGTGACACTGACTTTTTTATCTCAACCTAAGTCTTAACTAATTGAAAATCATTTATTGTGATTGTGACATATAATACTTAAATTCTATGTATAGTCCATTTACGATTTGGTGGTCAATTGACCAAGTTACTTCTTTCAATTAATTATTCGTTTTATGTAAGGTCTTGGTTGAGATAAAAAAGCTAGTGTCACGAGCGAGATTCGAACCCACGACCTTCGGCTAAATAAGCTGCTACTCTACCACTTGAGCTATCGTGACTTCGATCCTCTCAGACACCAACTCTGCATTTCAACCTGTTCGAATTTTCCCTCTATTTGCCAATTTCTCTTTTGCTATGTATTGTCTTGGAAAATATTTTCGGTGCCCAAAAACGTTGATATAAAAAAATTCTTAGAACGACGACACGCCATCGCAAGAAAGGACGCTCCCAGTATTTGTTTTATCCTTATGCAACCAAAGATTGCAGTTACATTTCAATGTGACTAGTTTATGGTACCGAATGAAATGACAGGAATTCTTCATCTTCTTTCTTTGTGGATGTTTTATTTCGTGTATATTTTTTCAGACAAATCGATCGGGAAATGCGTCCTTGGGTCGTACATGTTCGCCCGTGGGAAAGCGCTGACCCACTGGAGTTCGGCGTTTGCCAACCCGATGGAGCAGATCCAGAACTGGCAGCCGCTCACCGAGTGAAAGTCGGCCGAGATCGCACCGAGACGAGAAACCACTGCGGCTCGATCGTACATCTTTGATTTCAGTCGACTTGGGTGACAAAGTGCATCTTTTCTTTTCAGATATGGGGCCAAGGGCCGCAGCTTAGCGAGTTTCCTGTGTACACAAATGTTTCCTATTTTGTGTGTATATTGTCCGATTGAATTGAGGTGAGTTTTTTTGGAGGGAAAACGTGGCCTGAGATAACTAATCTTTATATTATGGTTGCAACTTTAACGTTATTTTTAATGGATAATAAAATAAACAAAGAAAATATTTATTCATATATGTCAATATTTATTTGTCTTCAATGATACTAAGCATTTTTTCTTACAAAGTGCTGAAAACATTCAAACTTTTGACTATTTTAAATTTTGTACTCAAGCAGTAAGTTGTATTAAATGTTTAATGGCATTTAAGTCCTCCACATGCGATAAGTCCTTGTTCTATACATTGTGAATAGTACATTGTGCAGTAATAAATAAAATACAGGTACTACATTACAAAAATTTTGGAACCCTTGGAGGTTTCTTTTCCCCCGGAGAATTCTTTCCTTTCCTGACGGAGTTTCCGTACAGCAGTTTAAATATAAACCGAGCTGTAAGTTTTTTAAAATAAAAAAACTTTAAAAACAAGCACTGTTTGGATTAGAAAAAAGCAAAAGACGTATTTTATCTTGGTCAAAAGTTTTCTTCATTTGCACGAGTACGTGCTTCAAACCAATTCCTAAAATAAACCGATATAGTCCCATTAAGTTAACACTAAAATCAAAAAATTCTTTTTTGCTTTTTTGGCAGGTCTGTGGGTTGTTTAACAATGCAAACAATAAAATTTATTATCCAAAGTGATTTAGTTTTTTCTTACCAAGTTGTCTTAGTGGTTAGGGTGTCCGACTTGTTTAATAAAAATAGTATGAAAAATATATTGTAAAGTGCTTTGACCCCCTCGTCAGTGACCCCCCAGCGTTAAGCCCCTAACGCCCGTGACGTAAGCATCCTGTAAAGGCAGTAATAACTTTAATTTTTGCTAATTACTTGAGTGTGACTATTTATACTTATTTTCACCTAATATTTACAGTTCAAAGGGCCATGTTTTTCTCCAAAATATCAAAATCACTCTCAAAAACAAACACAAATAAAATTGAAAATCCATTGTTTATTTTGTGGTATTAGAAAATTTTGTTCATTTTTAGAATTGCCGATTCTAGAAGTAATCGAAATATAAAATATATTGAACGTATTGAAAAATAAAAGTAGTATAATCGATAATTGTTTAATAGTTTATTTAGATTGAAAAGAAAAAAAAAGGTGTGATAAGAGTCTTTGAAAAAGATACATTTTCGATTTTTTCCTTCTATGAAATGGAAAACAAAAAGTGTTGTAATAAAAGTTTTTCTTTACTAATAATTTGGACAAAACGAATCTTAATAATTTTTTTTATAAAAAAAGGTTTTTGACTGATGGATGTTTTTAATTTTTTTATATCATTATTTATACTGCTTTTCTTTGTGTCTTGAAAATGCGTGGATGGCACATGTTCAGAAGATAATAGCTTAGCCATGTAGCTTGTAAGTTGCAGCTGTATCGGTAAAGCACCGCCGGGTTCGCCGGCTTAGATTTCTAGCGGTTCTTAGTCACAGTTTGTAGAATTTATTTTAATCAACAATTATTGCAAAATTGTCTGTTGTCATTCATCCTTCTTGATCCCGATTCCCAATCCTGTGCAATAGCAATGCATAAAGATGTAAGTTTCGATGGAAAAAGTTACTTTACAGCCTAATGAATTATTTAATAAGAAGAAAGGTATTAACAGAAAATAGATATTTCTCCATTGGGCAGTGTACAACTTTTCGGCTAGAACCATAGCAATGTTGGAAGATGGAAGAAGTCAAGCGAATGCGGCCAGGGGCTGTCCGAATTCTTGAAGGAATCATGGAATGTGCTTCCTTCGCTACCAAGATGTTACTCAAAAGGCAAGGATCAGGTCGCCATCGTATGACATTTCAGAGGTTGTTTCGAATGTCGTCCATAATTGACATTCTACGTTGTTGAGATCAACATCTTCAAGTTAGATATGTGAATGTCAGCCGACTGAAGTGTAAGGCGAAGAGTTTTAGAAGCTGGATTACTTGCAAAAAGTCCTGCCACATATGAGAAGTTGCGATGTACTACTAAGCAGTGAACACAGGTTATCGTAGGTAGAGGAACATGGGTGAGATATACAGGATGCCGTAATGTAAAGAGTAATCTATTAGAGTTCGTGGTCCGATTGACCAAATAACTTCTTTCAGTTAATTCACCTTTATGTAAGGTATTGGTTGAGATAAAAAATCAGTGTCACGAGCGGGATTCGAACCCCCCTTCGGCTAAATACGCCGCTGTTCTACCATTTGAGCTATCGTGACTTCGATCCACTCGGTCCAAGGTTCGCTTACACACACGGACATTAGCTCAAGTGGTAGAGCATCGGCGTATTAGCCGAAGGTCGTGGGTTCGAATCCCGCTCGTGGCACTGACTTTTTTATCTCAACGAAAGCCTTAATTATTTGAACATCATTTATTTGGTCAATCAGACCACGGACCCTAATAGATGTAATAAGGAAAATGGAGTATATTTCACTAAAGCTCTCCAAGGCCATTTCATTGGTCGCCGAGAATAAATGAAAAATGGCAAAAAGGAGGGAAAATTGGAAAGGTGGGTTGAAGTGGGGAGTCGGTGTCCGAGTGGATCGAAGTTACGATAGCTCAAGCAGTAGAGCAGCTGTGTACTTAGCCGAAGGTCTTGGGTTCGAATCCCGCTCGTGACACCGACTTTTTTTTATCTCGACCAATGCCTTACAAACAGGTAAAATGTAATCTTCCTTTTCCTTAGCCAAGACTCAAAGACAGTTATGTTGAGATTTCAAGGAATGAATGACAAGGACAGGATAGTAGTATCATCTACAATTGAGAACAGAAAAATATTCGGATGATTAAGTATGTCAGCAGTATACATTAAGTAAAGGAAACCTTACATAATTATTATTAACCTTACATAATTATTATTAAATGGCCTTCAACCACTATGGGTCATTTAGGTTACCTTACCTAAAAAGATAAATTAATTGGAAGAAGTAAACTGAATGTTTACTCAAAAGTACCGGTCGGCAAAGAAGGACTTTAGGACAAGGTGAAATTGGAGATCCCCTCTGAGTTTACACTGCATCACATGTCAGACCAGATGCAAAGATCCTTGCGCAACGTCGAGAAGGACAGCTGGGCACTGTCGGAAACAAAACTGATAATCAGGGATTAAATGGGAGTAATCATGTGTTTGATAAAGACATTGTATGAGGGGATTTTTCAGGATCTTCTCCATCTAGAAAATGAGAGTAGGACGACAGAAGGAGATGTTGTGCTGCCGTTTGCTGGGTTTCGGGATTATGGTACAGAGACAAAGATGTGTTTTATTCTAAATTTACTAGATAGAAATCTGATCAAGTTAGTTTGAATTTTTTTTTCTATTGTAATTGTTTACATCTGATAGATTAAAATGATGAATGCTTGATCAATCTAATCCTTATATAGTTGCAGTAAATAGTAACTCAATGTACAAAAAACACATGTTACAATGCAAAAAGATTGATTTTATTTTTAAAGTTGTTAAAAAAGTAGTATCAAGATGAGGACGAAAAAGCCGATTTCTAATAGAGTGTAGGAACTTGAAGCGAGCATGGAGACGTCTGAAGACAAAAAGTCTAGGACTTCGTAGACTCCGGAGTACATCGAGGGGTAGGTCCATTCTCCGCAGGCGGGCCCCCATGACAGGATGGCGAAGAGGAAGCCCGAGCAGATCAAAGGGGCGCCAGAGTCCCCTTCGCAGACGTCCTGTTCATCAGGGCCGATGGCGCACCACTGAGTCTTCCTCTGGAGATCGCCATCGTCCAAACAACGGCACATCGGAGGCCTGCACAGAATGAGCAAGCAGTCTTTTCTCGAGAGCAGAGTGACATCTAAGACCTTAAGGTATTCCGAGAGTGTCGAATAGACGGTGCCGTTTTCAACTACCAGTTGATTTCCCCAGCCGGCGGTTCTGCACACCTGAGACGATTTAGACATATTCTCCAATTTCTCGATCGCCTTTATCCTGTTTGTGGAATAAAGCGGCACCGTGGAGACCACGCCTCCTTTGAAATGTTTCTGAAAAGGCGCATCCAGGATGTACAGGGCGTAGTCGAACCTCCAGCTGTACACCTGTTCTTCGCACTTTTCGTGGGGCAAGAGCTCCTTGACGTGTCGTATCTGCTCGTCTATGTTGTTCTTCAGTTTCAACACCCCGCCGACGACTATCACGTCTTCTCTATCGAACAGGATGTGCTCGTGGTTGAAGAATATGCTCGTGCAGTGGCAGGCCGTCAGGACTTTCTTCAAAGACAGCAGGTTTCCGCTACAAAAGTGGTGTCTGTTTTTCCACTGTAGGCTGACTATATACGGAAAATCCTCTTGAAATGCCATACTTCCACCGACTATCTTCTTCATCGACAGTCCATTGGAAAAGAGTAAAGTAAAAACGAACGAACACAAAACTAAAAACATAATATAAATAAAATCTTCTGAAAATTTAAAAAAGCACCTGTTTATAACAATTTTGTAACATACGTTTGCACTTCATTACATATGTCTCAGTTTAAATTCGAAAATTACGTAATATTGTGTATAACATAACTTGAATACAATGTTAACAATTACATTCATTACGAATGCGAGTAAACAGGGGTGGTGAATTTTTCGCCACCCCTTGGGGACAAACAATGCACCACCTGTTTAAATGGACTCTGGCGAATTTTGTTAAGTTTTTAATTATAACGAATTCCTGGTTAACCAGAAAGAATTTATTTCTAATTTTTCTATGTACTGTTAATGAAAGAATTCCGTCAAACTTAAAAATCATTTTGTATTTAAACAAAACCATCGATAAAATGAAAATTTATTAGGTACTTTCTAATTAATAAAACTAAATAGAAAAAAAACTAAAATTTTTGTCGAATTCGGGAAAAAGCTAAAAAAATTTCATTACGAATGAACTCAATGTCAAATTAGAATAAAAATTTGGGGCGTCGATGGCCGCAACGGTTTAGGCGTTGACCCGGTGCTCATCACTGTAAGGTAAAGGTCCTGGGTTCGAATCCTGCCGTCCTGCATTCGAACCCGACATACTTACAAATGGTTTTTTTCTCAAAAACACCGGCACCCTGAGGGTTTATATGACCCCTGCTGTTGCGAAAATAAAAATTGAACGAGACCACCCACCGCTCATTATGTGGATGACTAACAACATCGATGGAATGGTGGGTATGTGAAATTTTTTCATTCCAACATAAAAAATAGAAACCAATTTCAGTAAGCTGTACAAAATTTAACGACATCATGCCAGCACAACTGAGAAAATTCATTTAGATAGTTTGTGGAAAAACGAAAGTCCAAGTGATCTGTGGCATAATTTTTATTTTATTTTGTACATTTCATCCTCAACTCCCAATGTGTCATTCCTCAATCTGCCCTTTCGTACAACGGACGATTTGACACTTCGACTACGGGCATGGTTATAAATAAGTAGCTTGATCGTCAATTTAAGCAGGTTGTGCTTTGTTTTTGTACTTATTTTTAATATTATCAAATTATATTTTAGCTATTAATAATTTGAAATATAAATTGAAGTATTCAATTAAAAAGAACTTCTTGTACTTGAAACGTTCTTTTTACAGAATTAAATACTTAAACAAGCTTAAAGCATCGAGTTGAAAGTTTGTACAGATGTCTCCTTCAACTTATTTTCGACAAGATTACTTTGAAGAGCTCTGTTGACAGGACTATTTACAAACATTTTAAAATTCATTTTGCATAAGAAATGTAATTCTCTTTCACTCTCACTCGCTTGGGAGAAAGAGAGAGAGAGAGAGAGAGAGATTGAGAGAGAGAGAGAGAGAGAGAGAGAGAGAGAGAGAGATCACTTGCCCGGATATAGTAATAGATAAGAAAATAGCTATTAAAAGATGGCCATCTCGCGAAGAAAATATAACTGCTAATAATTACATTGTACAACCTGTTGGCAAGTCAAATGTTTGTAATACCTGTATAACAAATCGTGGAAAAGCAAACAAACCCAAAAAAGAACCATTTCACTAAATTTCACATCATCAAATACTTGAAATGTGAAGACCTTTATACTCCTAAAAAAATCCTTGATTTCATCGAAGAAGAAGAAGAAACAAGATTATTTGTTTATAAAATATTTTTTGTAAATATGGAAGATGGCTGTTTGCAAATGAAACAAACGTGAAAAAATATACGTTTATTGGCAATATTCAGTTGGTGTAACACTCACTTTTTTGTATCGCAAATACATCAATGCCAAAATTTCAATTATACAATTATGATCATTTTCATTTATTTAAATTTAAGCGAGAAGTAGTAAGTATTCATAATTCGTTATCATTACTTTTATTCTCCAGTCATCATCTCCATGAATTCTGAAACAAAACCAACAAAGTCAAAAGTTTATTAGAAAGTATTAATCAATTACTAACAAATTTCTTAAATAAAATGGTTAACATTGCTGCTTTATATCTAATATACCTTTATTTATTAAAATTGCGATAATTAAGTATTATAAAACGCTTACAAAGAAGGAAATAATAAAACATGTAAGGATAATATAATCGAACGTTTTGGTAATATGTGATAGATTATAAAATTCTTGATTGTAAAATTTCTCTCAAGTTAATTAGCAATTGTTCATTTCTCTCTCTCTCTCTACTCTATCTATCTATCTCAAGATTATTGTAAAAAAAATTCATTCGTTGAGAGACAATTTTACTTTGAAATAAATTTATTTTTAGGATTATCCTTAAACTATAATAATTCGTTGCACATGAAAATCAAGTGGGGATGTCTCTGTAGAGATAGTATTTGTCTTGTAGCCAAAAAGAGTTGTTTTTTTTTACTGGGCCAAGTCCTAATTGTCAAAAGAGAAGAATTAGGCCCAGACGTTTCTTCTTTGCTTATCGAACAAACCGCGCTAATTCAACACAGCCCCAAACGATGAAAAAGACCCCCTTGGTAAAACGTAAAAAAATCGTGTCAAAGCCCGGCATAATTCACCGTTTCTTTTCCCGTCAAAGGACAGATGCCAAGAGCTGTCTGATTTAGTGTATTTCGAAAAATTTCCGCCGTCCTTTGTGGTTTTCCGTGACCGGTGCTTTATTGAGGTGGCGTACATTTGTAGACACCTCGCCAGACTATCTTTAGAAATTCGACTGTTTTGGGAAGTTGGTTCTTGGAGGCTATTCTGAAAAAAGCTTTGTACATAGAAGTGGTATGACTTTTCACTTGTAAATACAATATTTTACTGCTTTTCATAATTATTCCTAAATCGTGAGATGCGGTCTGGTGTGATGTAGGTTTCAAAAAAACATTTTCTTTACCGTGCTAACGTTTCGATCTTTATTGAGATCATCTTCAGGGCCTGGGATTTACAAACATTGTTTACATTTAACAAATACATGTAGGATGTGGAAAAAGTGGATTTATACAATGCAAAATCTATTTTTTATTATAGTCAATCAAAGTATTTCTACTCACTCAAAGTGTTTGTCTTCTGTGTAATTGTGCCATTCTTTCGTGTCATGTTGAGAGTGCCAGTGCGATATTGCTGTTTTATGTTTATACACGTTGGAGAGGTGGGGAAGGAAGTCGGTATAGAAAAGAAATTTTTGTATTTTCCACATCCTACATGTATTTGTTAAATGTAAACAATGTTTGTAAATCCCAGGCCCTGAAGATGATCTCAATAAAGATCGAAACGTTGGCACGATAAAGAAAATGTTTTTCTGAAACCTACATCACACCAGACCGCATCTCACGATTTCGGAATAATTATCGATTAACGGTCACTAATAATTTTTTTCCTACCTTGTTCGTTTTATTATGACGTCAGTAAGAAGATTACAATAAAAACTAATAATATATAACATTATTTATTGCTGCTAATTTAGAATTAAAAGTTAAAAATATTACCAACTAAAGGACTGTTATCATACAAACCGTCAAAGTCCACGGTGCCGGATCCGTCTGTGTCGATTTCCTGGATGATTCCGTCGAGGTCCTCGTTGTTCAGCTTGTCGTCCAAAGCAGCCAGGATTTCCCGGAGGGTAGCCGTCGTGATGTATCCATTGCCTGAAACGTTTCATGACGAAAAATAAAGGAAAATAAACAGGAATTTTTATTCCAAACTCACCTTCTCGGTCGTAAAGGCGAAAAGCTTCTTTAAGCTCTTCTTGCATTGCCTCGGCGTCCTCCTCTTCTAAGAAGTGAGCGGCCACCTCGCAGAAACCGTCGAAATTCACTTTCCCGCTACCTTTAAATAAACGATTGTGAGTGAATTTGTCAAAATGTTTCAAAAATTAAGACAAACATCCAATTTTTTTATGATTTGTTTTTTATCAAACTCATGGCATGCACAAACTCAAGAACCTCCTTTCAACCTTTTAACTAGTCCCAAAATTTTTTTGACTGTTTCTTCAGGTTGCAAGATACTGAAAACTCGTAACTTCAACATGTAAAATTCGCTGTCTTTTAAGGTTTAAAGATCTACATTCTCTGTATAATTTTCACAGCTGATATTTCTTCCCACGGAGACACAGTGTCACAATCGATTATGATTTTGGTACATTTCGAAATAAAACATTGTTCCTTTTACGTTTTCGTGGTCAATTGACCATGTTACTTCATTTCAATCAATTCATATTCGTTCTAAGGTCTTGGTTGAGATAAGGGTGAGAGAGAAAGTCGTGGGTTCGAATCCCGCTCGTGACACTGTCTTTTTTATCTCAACCTTAGAAAGAATAATTAATTGTTCCTTTTGTTGGCACAGCTTGGCTCAAGCTTATCCTCCCTTTTACCTACACCTAGTCCTAATTTTGTTTATGTCTGATTGTTTATACAGGTAGTACAGATTCTGAAAACTCGTTCCTTTCCACAAAAAGCGGTTTGTCTCATACTTGTACTTTGTCTTATCTTGTATATTTTTACGACAGGTAATCCTTCCTGGAGAGAAACTCAATTGACCATCTGTGCCGGTGTGGTTATCCGCAGTCTTGTTCCAAATATTCATCTGCCTCTTTTCTTTCTGTCTGCTGTAGTACTAACCCTGAATGAAAATAAATGTGATCACGTCACATTTACCTTCAAATATCCAACCGCCTGTCTTTTATTATAAATAATAGCACTATTATTAATTGAACCGCGATGGACGAGTAGTTAGAGCGTCCGACTTGTATTTGCCATTACTGGTTCTAGGTTCGATCCCCGCAGAGCCGATGACTTTTTAATTGATAGTAGTATGCAATTATGAGAGGAATTACTTTACTTTAACATCACTATTCCAGCACGGACCCATATCCGATACCTCGATTTCATCATGGCAACAAACGTAACTAATGTACGCACATTAGATGGAATAGATTAGAACTAAGCAGTCTGGAACTATCATGCAGACTATAAAGAAAACAAAGTTAATTAACTTACGAGACTACATGCCCCATCTGGACTTACTGATTTGGAATTTGAAACTCTACCAAGTTAAGGATAATCAGGTAGAACTATTACCCGTTTTTTCCCATTGTCGGCTCCTTTCACCTCAAAGAAGCTGATCCGTCATATAAAAATGTCTTTCTATCCCGACTCGCTTCCCCTCCCCTTCAAAATCCAACGTATATAAATATAAAACATCAATATCTCACTGGCACTCTCAACACGACACCCAATAAACCATAAACAATAACGTCTACACAGAAAAAAACACTTCGAATGAGTACAAATACTTTGTTAAATTTAAAAATTCTAGCATTGTATAAATTCATTTTTTTCCACATCCTACATGTATTTGTATAATTTAAACAATGTTTATAAATCCCAGGCCCTGAAGATGATCTCAATAAAGATCGAAACGTTGGAACGATAAAGAAAATGTTTTTCTAAAAACTACGTCACACCAGACCGCATCTCACAATCTCCAAATAATCACTCTACCAAGTAATGAAACCTAGGCCAAATTCAAACATTTCAGACCCAAGTGATCCTCATTTTAACCAACCTTTCTATATCTCAAATAAAACCCAACTTGAAACTCTTATCATTTTTTATGTTAGTCTATTTGATGACAAGGTTAATAAGTTTACATTAAAATATGCTTCTTTGACTAAGATTAAACTGCGCGCGTTGATAACTTGAATCCTCCGTTCTGTACCTACAGCACACATATCCTAGTTCATCAAGAAACTTGATTAGTAAACCCGGTCTCAGTTGTTTAATTTCTTCTACGGTTACCATGAACATCCCAAAATACTTTCTCCTGCGAGGGAATGTGGCGCTTGTTTGTTTGTATTGGTGCCTCCTCTGCTTCTTTGCAGAATCTGCACGTGCCATGTTGGGTTATATCAATCTTCTTCAGATGCCCATTTAGTCTGTAGTGTCCTGTTAAGAAACTTGACCGGATTCAAAGTTTTTCCTCTAACTTTTTTTTTCATTGCGTGGTCAGACATCCTACACATTTCTACATCTTTTTTTAAAAAGTTGTTCTCCATGTCTTCACCAAGATATCCTCTAAACCCTCTACGAAGCTAAAACGGCATTGACCATGAAATCTCTTTTAAAAACAAAAGTCAATAGGTGATGTGTTCAAACAAAAGTAAAGAGTATAATAATTGAACCCTTGCACTTAGATAGAATGTCTTCTAATGGAATTTTACGACTAAATGCATTTTTATGAATTTCATAGATTTCTTACTGACCAGTATTTTTTAATGCGCGTTTCCAGCCTCCTGATACTATTTAAAGGAGTCGTACTTATTTTCCGCAATGTTGAAAATATATGGCTCACCATTTCGAAATAGACGTCGACTCGGTTTACAGGTTGGCCGTAAAAACAAACCGCTGGAGCGGGGCCACTTTCGGGCCGGAACCGTCTCTCCGGAATCGCTGGTATTTCGTATCATTTGGCACCTTCCCCCGCCGGATTTAATTGAACCCCTCTTAATGTACTGTTAATTCCGATGCCCTTGGCCGAGCAATTAGGCCTCCGAGGGAGATTTAATTTCCGAAAAAATTCAAGCCAACTGTATTTCCGGAGTCGAGGTATGAAGTCAGAGTAAGACGATTTTAGTAAAGCATAACCATTTGCTTCTGTCCATCGTATAAAATTGACTTCCCTCTAACAATATATATTTATTAAAAACTTATATATATAATTATATATCAATAATTATTGGTCTGTTGGTCAAAGGAAAGTTAAAGGAACTTTAAGATATAGCAATCGACCTGATATTTGTTGCACCGATCTTGATTCAATTATTTTTTAGCATTTATATATATATATATATATATATATATATAAAATATACTTGGTGTCCTTTTTATATATAGCCTGGCTGAATTTCTTATGAGGTCCTTTCCACCTATCCTGGAAGTGTCAATTCCAATAACTTCTCATCTGCTGTATGCGGTATGCTGGGCATCCATCAAGCTGGAGAATCATAGTTTGCCTTTGTTGCAGAGGAACATCATCTAAGAGTGTTGGTAAAACAATTGGGAAACTGAGCACCCTTTAAATTATTTTCGTAGAAATAAGGCCCAATTAATTTATTTCCGAGAAGTCCACATCAAACGTTGATGTTGTTAACCACCTGATGATGACAAGAATACGAAATTCTCGGATTTTCCTCTGCCCATGTTCGAAAATTACAACGGTAGTGAAATGCCATTAGAGGTGAACTTGGAGTCCATAGGATGTATGGAAGAACGTTTTCTTCAGTCGATGTAAAAATGAAGATTTACTTTCATAATACCAGTTTGGCAAACAATGATAGAAGAAGCAAGTAATTGTAATTAACAACATAACAAACGAAATGCGTTTTTCAAATTTTAGTCATAACTTTGGTATTTTTTAACTAATTCGATTGCACCATTGTTTTCAGCGTAAAAAAATTTAAAATGATGTGTCAGGGTGTTTAGGGTCGTATTTAAAATTTTGAAGTTGAACTTGGCCTGAGGTACCCTGTATAATTTTTTTCCGAAAAATGGTAAAGATTTGTAACTAGGCTAAAAAATATTAAACACTTTTTTATAGGGTCATTGGTTCAAAAGAAATTCAGCCGGGACATCTAAAAAGGACACCTATCATGAAAGCGGAGTTTGGAGTTTTGTAACGGAGAATTTTTTGATAGAGGTTCAAGTTGTGAATTTTCGATAAAAATGTCAGAAATGGTGAATTTTGTTTATCCCTTCAAATCCTAACTTCGAAAAATCGTCAAAAATGAAATTTTCGGCCGATCAGGCTGGTTTTAATCTCATTCGACGCAGAAATTAATCCTCTACAGATGTTGTTTCGAGCTGTTTTATGGTCAGGCTAATGGTTTACTAACAATTTCACGAATAAGGTCAAAAAACGTGGTTTTTCATGGTTTTTTTGCCTGTAGCTCGGAACTGAAGGGTTTGCGGACACAGGTACATAGGACCTTTTTTATTCAGCGTTCAATTTCCTGTAAGATCTGGAAGTGTGCTGAATCGATTGGGGCCACCCTGTATATATATATATATATGTGTGTGTGTGTGTGTGTGTGTGTGTGTGTGTGTGTGTGTGTGTGTGTGTGTGTGTGTGTGTGTGTGTTAACATATAACTGGCTTCTAGATTTGCTGAAATTTTGGTGGTATTGTCTGAATATTTCAGTAGCAATGTGTCGGAATTGATAAGATTGTCTGCCGTGTAAACTGAATATAGAATGAGACTAAGGAAGGTACCTTGCAAAACACCCGCTTCAGCAAAGAGTGTGGGGAAGAAGGATTTTCCAATTTGTGCTTTAAAGTACCCCACAAATTTCACTATTGTCACAAATAAATTTGTATTTAGTTTTCTATTTGATTAGTATTTATATTTATATGAAAAATAAAAATATTTTCTTATGTTCAGGGCTGGTAATTTTTCAATGACATTAAAATTATTAAGCTCTCTAACGCTTAATATCCATTATTTTTTTAACTCTAAAATTATTGGTCAGTTACTTTTACTAAGCAGCTCAACTGAAAAACAATTTTCGTTTTAGAACTTTAACCAATTCCAACTGGATGTAATCACAATCTCAACTTTCTTCCGCCAATCAAGAATCTAGGTTAATTGTTACAAAGAACATTTCGAATCCAAACTCTTATTACGCATTTTAATTAAACATTCCGACATTACTTCAGACAATCAGAGACGATAAAATCGTAAAACAAATGTTCAACTCGTAGAACAATACGAGCATTCTACAATTTAGCTAATTAAAATTTAATATAATAGTAATATGTGATAAATCCCTAATT